ATCTATCTATCTATCTATCTATCTATCTATCTATCTATCTATCTATCTATCTATCTATCTATCTATCTATCTATCTATCTATCTATCTATCTATCTTATTCAGCAACTAATAAACATTTTTTCTGAGCCCCACAGGCAGCAGATTTTAAGATGATCTGAGGTGTTTTACTCTGTTTTGTTTTGTTTTTTCTCCTCTGGATTATTTAAAGGGCCAGTTCACCCAAATGTTTACACTGTCTGACAGCCCTATCAATTTCTTTTAAATTAACCTGACTTGGCTGTGGGCATGGTGGGTAATTAATGCAGCCTCTCTACTATATTTGAGCATTAGCACTGACGATTTAAGGTCCAGTGTGTCCTCTACCAAAGGAGGTAACAAAGGGAGTTTGTCTCCTGAGTATTTAGAGAATATACTGCCACAGAGGTGCTTTGGGGACAGTTTAATGGGTTAGGAACCTTTCTAAGAAGAAATGAGTGTTTGACTGCAGCCAGAAACAAAGAAACACAGAACACATGGGGAAGACATAAAGACCTAGCAATACAAGAAAGAAGAAATACCATCAAACAGTGACCAAAACTCAAATATCAGACAGGAAACAAAACCACAGAAGTAATATTTGCTCTGAAGTTTTAATTATCTCTCCTGACAAACAACACTAATATCTGAGCAACAAAACAAAACAAAACAAAACAAAACAAAACAAAACAAAACACCATGGAGACTTACTGAACTCAGGGGAAAACCAAAAAGAAGCAGTTGTAAGAACTCAGAAAATGTTGCTGTGATCAAAAAGAGCTTTTGCAGATGTTTGATGAAGTTTCTGGAATCCCTGCACAAGTTAATTTCGCGTTCATTGTTTTAATTTCTGTCCTCGGAGCCTCCATCTTTCATACGAAAACGATCTTCGGCGGGGAGGGGAGCCTCACGTTATTTGAGTGACGTCAGCACGTCGGCCCTCGACACCTACGAGCGATCCCCGCGACGCCCCCCTGAGCACGAGACACCCGCGCGGGCTCGTGCTGCTTGTTGGAGACGAATAATAATGATGTCACGATGCTCGCGCGACCTCAGTGCGCTGGCAGGATACGAAACTACATCTGGATGAGAATAGAGAAGAGGAGGAGGAGAGTTTGGGGTGTTTGCGTTTCAGCACCAAGGACAGCGCTTTAGGGGGTCCAATGGCGCGTTCAAACACTACTGGGAAATATCACATTTAATCAAAACAGGAGGGGAAAATGATTTGAAAGCTGAAAGCTTGTGTTAAATGAGCTTTTAGCAGATAAACGCAGATTAAGGACAGCAATATGAAAACTTTTCGTGTGAAAAAAACGGTGATGTCTCACACATCTTTTCTTTTTAATTTCCGAAGCGACAGTGCACATTAGAATAGAAGGCATTTATTGTCACTATGCAGATGTACGATGAGATACAGAGCATAAAGAGCATGTCTTACTCAGTGAAAACATGTTGGAGAAGAAGGGGCTCGCACCTCTATGTGTGCGTGTTTGTGTACAGATATACAAATCTAGAAAAAAAAGAGGAAATAAATATGTGATGGATAAATAATGTTGTGTATTTACAGTTTGTGTTATTTCACAGTGGTGGTGGTGGTATATAGAGGGAAGTCTTTGGAATGAGGGTGGAACTATGTTATTGGTGCTTGTGTGAGTTCAGGGTGGTTATGGCTTTTGGGAAGAAACTGTTCCTGAGTTTGTCAGTCTTTGTGCTGATGCACCTGTAGCACTTCCCTGAGGGAAGCAGGTTGAACAACACAGCATTAACTCATCCATGTAAACATGCAAGATGTAACTTCCAAAATTTAGCACACATACAGCTAATATAAAGCCACAGTCTGTCAGAGAGTTACATTAAACCATAAAATATATAAAATACTTTCAGATATAAAAGAGAAAAATAAAAAATATAATACATCAGACTAAAATGATCACAGTGTTGGTTTGTTTGAGGTGTGCTTTCAAAATCCCGGTATGTACCTGCCTGTGGTGACCGCACAGTTTGTCTAAATGAGACACTCATGGTGCCCTCTAGTGGTGGCCGTGGCATATACATCACAGCCAGCCCATCAGTTAATAATTTCATTTAAAGCTCAAAAGATTCAGTTTTTCCAAAATGTTACACTGATGTCTAAGTTCTTCTTGAAAAGTGATTCACTTGAAGAAAGTGTTGTTCCACCAGCAATGGTAAATAAAAAAAAAAAACAAAACCAAAAAAACCCCAACAGGTTCACTTAAAATTATACAAAACAAATGTTACATTAATGGATACTATTTTAACACCTTTTAATGTGCAGTGTGAAACTAACCGAACAGGATCACATTAAAGTGAATCCCCTCGACTGACCATTCTTTAATTATCTCAAATTTAGTCCCCAGTTTTTAATAAAAACAGCAGCAAACCTATATAAACAGCAGTGAGAGAATCTGAGCATTTGTTTATATGTAAGAATAAAATGTGTGTAATTAAAATGTTCTATACTAAATATATGTCTACATACACTCACCAGCCACTTTATTCCTTAAAGATTTTGGTTTGCATGGCACCAACAACCATGACATGTTCAAAGTCACTTACATCACCTTTTGTCTCCATTCTGATACTCAGTTTGAACTTCAGCAGGTCATCTTGATCAATCTTTACATCCCCAAATGCACCGAGTTGCTGTCATGTGATTATCTGAATAGATATTTGCTCTATTGCGGGTTTAACACGTGTACCTAATGAAGTGGCTACTTCCTGCATATGTGTTTTCTTGTAATCATAGTTTTTTCCCCTCTGCTTTTCACTGTGCACACTGAATTTACAGCTATAAAACAATTTCATCTTCAAATCTTGACTTCTGTGGGACATAAGATGCATAGAACAAATACGGTTCTAAAAACAGTGCTTTGCTGCTTTAAAGCCGTTCCCCTCCTTTATTTGTTCTGACAGCGAGCGCTCTGAATCCACACACAATTTTAGTTCTTCTTCTGTTGTAAATGAAGGAAAAATGAGCTGATGAAACAAGCTCCATCATTATAAACTTCCTGCTGACGTTTCCATGTGAAGCCGTCTTAGCCGTTCCTCCGATTTGAAACAAAATAAAGCTCGGATATTTTTCTCTACATGCCTCTACACTAGTTTATCTCATAACTTTGAATCCCCCCGAAGATACTGACAATGAAGCACATACATAATAATTCAACCTTTCAACTCTGATCTTATTTAGTTTTATTAATGTACTGAAATCTAATTTCTGTCATGAAGAAAGTCTTTAATCAAATATCAGAAACATTTCATATATGGAGTTAAACATGAATCATTGCTTCAGCTTCACAGCTTCAATTCACTGACAGGAAACAACATTAGAAATATAATCATCCTCAAGTCATCTGCTCCACTAACACTGTACTTTCAACAACAGCACATTGGCTTTATTGTTAAGTGTTAATATATGGAAACATATTGTGAGTGAAAGTGTGTGTGAAGGTGTGTATGTGTGTGTTAGTATCAGGATCAGAGAACGACAGCTGTCCTCTGTTCACTCTGATCCTCTGGAGCAGTGAGAGGAGCTGATGGTGAGCGTGCATAGTATTTACTTTCATAGAACCTTATTCTCGATAATCCAGACAGTATGATTCCCTTCCTCTGCACAGACTCTGCAAACACACCCAGTCCCCACCGTATACTGTCTCCAACTTCGACATCCCAGCTGTGATTCCCTGAGTTAAAGCCCTTAGAGCCCACGACATAGCAGGAATCATTAAACCTCTCTAGATTATCAGGAAGCTGTTGTCTTTCTCCTCCTATCACACTGGTCAGATTTTCAGACATGATGAGGTTTGGATGAGCGGTGTTTGGGATCCAGAATGAGAGGAGTGTAGGAGACCATGTCCTTCATATTGTTCTAGATGTTGAAAGTCAGATTGCCCAGGTGTTTGGCCTGGTCTATCAGAGCTCCTGAGGGCAGCTATGGATCATCCAGCAGGGGGCAG